TATAGTACCACGAAGTTTGTTTAAAAAATCGTCCAAGTTTGGAAAATGTTCACTGAGCAACTGAGATCATCGTACGACGATGATTTTTATTTTATTTACTGAGTAATCATCATTCGAACTTGGACAATCGTAACTCCATAATTTTTTTACAGTATAGACGTACCAAGCCGACATCCTCCGTCGGTTCTAAGGTGATTCGATTCCTCTCCTGACAGAGCGTTATGTAAAACTGCACGAAATCGGTCTTCCGTACTTTCTGGTGCAGCACGAAGCACATTAGGATCGTGAAATTCGACAGAACGAAGAACACAGACGTGTTGCTGCGCTCGTCATGGAGCAATGACTTCGTTAATATTCGATTGATCGAAACCCAAAGACCGGCGATACCTTTAAAAGCAAATGCACATACATACATATAAGTACATAAATCGATGCAATTTTAATACTCGCGAACTATGACTCACTTTCCCCAGTCATGACGGCCTGTGTGTATTGACTCGGAAGCATAGAAGTGTACCCATAGAAGCTTGATTGCTGAACTAATTAAAGGACGAGAATTTTCATATAAAATGATTAGAATTTAGAAAATAGATAATCACCTGTGCAGCCGAGAGAGACTATCGCCACGGCTACTAAATTAATCGTATAAGAAGTGACCACATTGAAAGGTTCCCACCAGATCTCATAAATCACAACGAAATTCAACGTGACGAAGGCTACCAAATATCCTGCAATTTATGTCACATTATAGTAAACGTTCTAATTTCTGTTCACGTCACAATTTCTATTGCATTTTTTTTTCTATATGCAATCTTAAACCAGTGAATAGAAGTTGTAACTTAAACAAAAATTGAGACTTAGTAGGAAACAAGAATATTAATTTTCTTCTCTCGTTATTTAATCTTACCGAATGTTATTCGCGTGTTTAAAGACAGCGTCTCGATTAAAATGTTATTCGCAAACACGGCAAAGAAGGCCATTATTATGTAGACGACTGACATGTCGAATATTACTGTCGTGCCAGGGTATCTCGCTTGAAAGTAATCCACTGCTATAATGAAGCTGCAAGGATTAAAAATCGTCCTTATGGAAAATTAATAACAACTAGACTGCAGATTTTTATAAACGTATTTAAATCATATTCGTGGGATTAATTGCGAAATTCTAATATACATTATATTATTTTAATTTAAATAAACA